TACTATCAACCAGATTTTAAAAAACCTGAAAAAAGAGCCAAGTTGCTTGAATGGCACCAAGAACAAATGAATACACCAACAACAAATTTTCAACTACGAGAACAACTTCTACTCTATTGCGCAAACGACGTTGCCATTCTTCGTGAAAGTGTTCTACGATTTCGGCGACTCATTGGCGAAAACACAGCAGGCCTTGATCCATTCTTGACTGCTTCCACAGGAGCAGGCCTCGCTCTGTCTACAATGCGCCGTTGCTTTCTTCCTGAAAATTGGCTTGTACACTCTCCAGAAGGAGGATTTCTACGAGGAAGAAGAGCCTCAGCAGAGTCGCAGCGCTATATTAAATTATTTGAAGTTGAAAATAAAGAAGCTGAAGGAAAAGTTCAGTGCGCCCAATGGGCTATTGGGGAAGCTAATGTTGAAGATTCTGGCTACCGATTGGATGGTCTTTGGTATAGATCCCCGCCTCTCAAACCACTAGCCATCGAATACAACGGGTGCTACTACCATGGTAATATCTAAATAAAAATGTTTTTATCGAATCTTTCGTAGGTTGTCCAAAATGTTTCCCAATTCGCGACCAGCGTCTTGCTGGAGGGCGTACTGCTGAAGAACTTTATGAGCGCACACAATCGCGCCTTTATGAACTTGAACAACACGGTTATGCTTTGCATGTCATCTGGGGACATGATATGAAAGAAAGGCTACGCTCTAATCAACAACTAAGGCGAATATGGAATGAAATTGATGTTGTATGGCCTATGGACCCTAGGAAGGACTGTCTCAGAGGAGGAAGGACCGAACCTTTCAAACTTCATCACATTTGTACATCTGATGAAGAAATTATTTACATTGATATAGTATTTTATTGATATTAATTTTTTAAAAAAATTTTATTTTTCAAGGTCAGCCTATATCCATATGTGATGAAGGCGATGGAATTCCCAGTTGGATATCCTATTGTCCTGACAAGAGAAACACTTACACAACCGCCTAATGCGCCGCTACCATGGACTCACCCCCAACATAACATCTATAAGGGGCTGTTATTAGTACGCGTGCTTCCACCAACATCAATGAATGGACTTCCTCCCCTACTTGGTTATAGAACACATGATGGGCGTCTAACTTTTCCTCTTTGCTCTTTATGTGCAGACAACAAACAACAGAGTGAATGCCATCATTCAATGGGGAAAAGATCCTGGATAAGTGGGTATACACATGTGGAGCTCAATAAAGCGCTAGAACTTGGTTATAAAATTTTGGATGTTTACGAGGTTCTACTATAAGTTTAATTTGTAACTTGTTAATATTAGGTATGGCATTATGATCGATGGGACCCGCAGCTCTTTAAAGGATATGTCAATACTTTTGTGGGACTTAAACAACAGGCGAGTGGTTGGCCCCAAAATTGCGATTCCCAAGAGGCACGTGAACATTACATTGCTGAATTTGAGCGCATTGAGGGAATTAGAATGGATCCAGAAAAGGTCGAAGTCAATCCTGGGCTACGAATGATTGCGGTGTGTTCTTTATAAAAAATTTAAATGAAAAATTTATTTCGTAAACATAAAAAAAAATTTTTTGCTTTTTTTAAATAAAATTTTAATCTAAAAAAAATTAAAAAATTTGTTTTAATTGTTAATTTTTTCAACTTTTAGAAAATTTTGGCAAATTCCTTGTGGGGAAAAATGGCTCAGCGTGTTGGAGGTATTGAAGTCAAGTATGCAAAAACACCTGAAGAATTTCACCAGCTGTTAGAGGACCCAACTCTTGAGACTCTAGATTTTGAACATGTGAGCGAATTTATGGATCGGTGTGTTGTCCGAAAGAAAGAATTCGCAAAGCCTCCAGACACAAATTGCCTTCACGTAGCAGCTTTTGTAACATCATATGCTCGGCTTCATTTATATAAATATATGGAGGAAGTTAGACGTATTAATGGCCAGCTACTTTACTGTGACACAGATTCAATCTTCTATGTCACAAAACGTGGGGGAAATTATGTGGACGAGGGTGAGGCTCTGGGTCAAATGAAACGTGAACATCCTACTAGGCGCATACTAGAATTTATTGCTGGAGGGCCTAAAAACTATGGTTACCGCCACGTTGACAAGGGAACTGGCTTCGATGAAAGAGCTGAACTAAAAATAAGATCTTTCCCCCTTTCTTATGCGACACACCAATTGCTTAATTTTGAAACAATGAGACAACTTGTTATTAGTCAATTTAATATTGACGGAGAAATGTAAGTCATAAAAAAATTTTTTTAATAGAAAAATAAACTTAAGGGACGAAATGTTTTCCGAAAATTTTATGTTTGAACCTGCCAACATGATTAGGGTTGAATTTCCCCAAATTGGCCGGACCCAGCGTTCTGATTTATATACAATGATGACTAGAAGAGACTATAGAGCATGTTTTGAAAAAGGAAGGATACGCCCAAATATGGAAACACTTCCCTTTGGGCATGTAAATTATAATGAACAACAACGACATGAGGTCTTTTTCAAATTAATTTAAAAAAATATTTTAAAAATAAAATTTTTTTATAGTTTGTTCCAAATACATTCTCTGATCAAATTGAATACCAAAATATTGTTCCAAGAAATCACCATCTAAATTTACAAGATATTCCTGGCTCTTCAAATTGGACTGATGTAGATTATTTGCACAGATATAGATAACATTTATTTATTTTTTAACAATATTTTCATTTATGATTTTTTTATAATAATAATAAATTTTTCGTTACAATCTTGGAAATTTTAAAAGTAGAGGTAAAATAATATTGTCAAATAAATATTTAATTTGTTCAATATAAACTAATCCTGTTAATATAACACGTCCAGAAATATAGATAAGGCATGAAGCTTCTCTAAGTTCATCTTTAATTTTTAATCGAAGGGCCGGAAATATTGTTGGATCATATGAAGCCTTAACAATTTTTTCAAATAATTTTTCTCGTTGCTGTTTTTCTTGGGACTGTTGTCTAATCTTCCTATAGATTAATTCAATGGCAACTGGATTCATATTTCGATATGAGCCAACTATATTTGTAACTTTGAGGTTTGTAATTCGTAATTCACATAATGCTGTTATATTTGCTGCTCTAGTAGAAGCATTCATTCTTTTAACCACTATAGAAGCCATTTTTCTAGCCATCTTAACGTTAGGCACCCCTGTTAATACCACTTTACTCGACTGAAAAATTAATGCAGCGGTTGTTCTATTATGGTCATGACGAATTCGCATTATTATTGAGTGGAATCGTTTAGGATTATATTCAGTATTTATTCCATTTCTAGCTATTTTTTGAAAATTTTCTGATGAAAATCTTTGAATACCAGGCAAAAGTTTAAAAACACATGTACAGTTTTCAATATTCATATTTACTTTCTAAAATAATAAATGAAATAAGAAATACAATAAAAACAATTCAATACTTTAAAATAAAATTTGTATAAAAATAGGAATATTAATATTTAGCATTTTTTCATTTGTTTACTCTTCATAGAAACACTAATAACTTCAAGCGGGTAGTAAGAGCGATGGTGTCCTCCTCCAAATTCAATTATGCATGGCAAGTATGGGTGACGTAATTTGAAGCCGTGCTTTACGTAATAGTACCCTCGTACCTTAATTGAAAATTTTATTTTTTCTTTTAATTTTTAAAATCTTACCGTTATACCCAAATATCCTCTCATAGCAGGAACAATACTTGCTGGCTGAACAGTGAAATCATTGCAACGAATTATAAAATTTTTAGAAGGATGTAAGTGGGTTGTACGAAGTTGAACTTGATTTTGTAAATGTAGAATTATTTCTCGCCGTTTTTCGATGTTATAAAAGAGTACATGAAGCTCTTTAAATGCACAGTTGTGCAACTGACATAGATAATCAATTAATGGCACGGATCGACGTTTAAAAATTGACAATGGTAAGGGGTCTTCTATTGCCTCAGATTTTGGCTCAATAAAAGGATTTTCAGGCTCCTTGACGTCCTTTTCCTCTTCTTCCTTTTTTTCAGTCAAATTTTTCGGATCAATAGTTTCTTTGTCATCATCATCTTCATCGCTCTCAAGGACTATTTCGAGTATTTTGTCTCCATTATCTTTCAAAACATCCTCCTTATTTTTATCTTCAACAATTTCATTTACCAGAGAACTTAATCCAAGTGAGGTGACCAAAAGATCGATTTCATCCTTAATAAAAATTTTATTAAAAAAATATATGTATAATAAATTACTTTTTCTATTTTTTCATTTTTTGAATTGATTTCATGCAATTCCTTTTCTTGTTGCCGTTTTTCACGTTGTTGTCGTTCTTCCTCCTCACGTTGTTCGCGTTCTTGCTTCTCTTCTTGGGTTTCGATTACACCCCAAAGACCGAATGCATTGAAGGAATTAAAATTCATTTTTGTTAGAAAAATAAAGTACGAAGAAAAAATATGTTATATATATATGTATATATATAATGCTGAAAATAATAATTTAAGTTTTTCATTTCGAAATAAAATGGAAGGATTTGAAAAAATCGATTATTTACATACACAATTCAAGCACCCATTTACAATGATAGTTTCAGGAAGTACTGGCTCTGGGAAATCAGAATGGGTTAAAAAATTTTTAGAAAATTTAACAGAGATGATTCATTCTGATAATAAAATCTCTCTTGTATTTTATTGTTATGGAGAATTAAATAAAAATATTTTACTTATGCAAAGAAAAGGATTTGTTGATAAAGGAAAAACAAGTGTCATTGTTCATAATGGAATACCAACTGGGGGAGAGGACTTTATTCATAAGCAAGCAATTCAATCAAAGGGGTCTATGTTATTGGTATTAGATGATTTAATGGTGGGTATAGATCAACGCCTTATTGAAACAATATTTACAAGGGGGTCCCATAATTGGAAAATCAGTGTAATTCTTATTAGTCAACACTTATTTAATAAAGAGCTTAAAATACCTCGTAATAATTCTCACTATTTATTATTAATGAGAAACCCCGTAGGAGCTTTACAAATTAGAACCCTTGCCATGCAGCTTTTTCCTTCTCGCTCAAAATATTTTTTAGAAGCTTATTGGGATGCAACAAAAGATAATTTTGGTTATTTATTGGTTGATATTCATCCAAGCACTCCTGAAGTTCTAAGACTGAGAACACATATATACCCAAAAGAGAATGCAATTATTTATCTTCCAAAATGAAAAATAATAATTTTACAACTAGTTTTTTAATAGAAAAAAACGCAGGCTTTCTAAATAATTTATTATCTTGCTCAAAATCGAAAATGGCAGTTAATAAAATTATTTCTAATGCTTCTGATGAACAATTATTATGTCTTGTTGAAATTTGCTTGAATTTGTTAAAAGGGAGATTACCATTTCATAAAAATAGAATACAGAATCTACAAAATCAAGCATCGTTATTACGTAAAATTAGTCGATCGAGAAGCGCTTCTTCGGCCAAGCGCCTGCTACTAAGTGATAAAATTCAAAATGGACGTGGTTTCCCACCCGTCGCGGGTCTTCTTGCTAGTATTATTGTTCCCTTGATTGCAGAGAATTTTATTAAATAAAAATATAAATAGCATGATTTTCTAAATTTATTTAATATAAAAAAAATGCGCCATGCATCTCGAATGCTTTTAATTCCTGAGGATTTTTTCAAAAGTTTAATTGATTCAGCGAGACCAGAGGAAAAAATTACTAATAATAACAGCGATGGAACATCAATAGGGTTAATTAGAGAACGCCTACAAAACACTAGAGACAATCCTACATTAGATTCTGACACAAAAGCCATAAATTATGAGCAAGATTTTAAAAGATATAATAAACTTGTTAGAGACAAAGAAGAAAAACCTATTGATGTTAAGATTAAAAATATTACAGAAATTTCTGACAATATATTAAATAATAATGATGAAAAAAATTTAGAACCTTTGAAAAATATTGTCGATAAAAGAATAAGGAAAAAGGTTCCAATTAAAAAATTTAATAGAAACCCTATAAAAAGGGGCTCCCGTAAGAGATTCAATATTTTAGGTGATAAAAACATTGAATTAGAAGAAAATGAATATTTTTCAGCAGACGATGCCGAGCAGGACTTACATAACAAAGTCCTTAAATATGTTCGAGAAAATGCTGAATCATTAGGTATAACAAACGACTTTAGATTGCGCAAAGAAGTAGGTAGTAAATCTCCTCTTGTTACAAGTAATGTTGAAGAAATTATAAATCATATAATTAGAAATAATGGCGTTCGCAAAAGACCATTACCTACAGGTTACGACCATTTTCTTCGTAGAATTGATAAACATACATTTTTAAAAAATTTACTTTTTCCTCCATCTACATCAACTCAAACTGGGACTGGAGTTTTTTCATTTAAACCTTCGTTATGGAGAAATTAAAAATAAAACAAATAAAAATTTTAGATCGTTTATATAAAGATGTAAATTCATCAACATGTTTTACATCTCTTGAACCCCTCTTAAGGGAAGCAAGGCGGTTAGACAAAAGTATATCTCGTGATGATGTCAAGAAATATCTTTCGACTCAGGATACTTATACCTTACATAGGAGAGCCGTTAGAAAATATAAGCGAATGCGTACGCTCGCGGCTGGCTTACATACTGAATGGCAAGCTGATTTGAGTATTTTTGATCGTTTAGGCATTCAAAATAATGGTTTTAAGTATCTTCTCGTCTGTATAGACACGCTTAGCAGGATGATTTTTGTTGAACCAGTTAAAAGTAAACATAGTGAAAAAATGATTGAAGCCTTTAAAAGATTATTTGCCAGAATAAAAATCGTTCCTTGGAAATTATTAACCGATCAAGGATTAGAATTTACCGCAAAAGAAGTCCAAAAATATTTTAAATCCATAGATATGGAACATTTTTCAATGGTTACTTCCCCTCAATGGCATGCTGGTATGGCAGAAAGAGCTAATCGAAGCATAAAAGAAAGACTTTATCGTTATTTTACTGAAAAACGTACGTTAAAGTGGGTAGATGTTATTCAAGATATAGTTAACGCAATAAATAATTCTTTTAATTCATCTATTGATATGCGACCGGTAGACGTTACTTATAAGAACGCGGAGAAGTTAAGATTAAAATTAAAAGATAAGGCACGGGTGGAACTTGGTCCAAAACGTTGGAAAAATACAAACTTTTCAGTTGGCGATAAGGTTAGAATAGAGAAATATAAACATATATTTCAAAAAGGATACTTACCAAATTTTACAGATGAAATTTTTGTTATAAACCAGGTACGCCTTGTTCCACACCAGCGCCCCACATATAGACTAAACGATCAAAAGGGCGAATTAATTAGGGGTTGGTTTTATGCAAATGATTTGTGTTTGGTAAGAGACCGTAAAAAGGAAGATGTACTGTATGATATAGAAAAGGTTTTGAAAAAGAGAAAATTTGATGGGGAAGATCAATGCTTCGTAAAATGGAAAGGATATAGCGCGAAATATAATATTTGGATTCCCGCTAGCTCAGTTAGTTGGAGATAATATAAATAATAAAGTCGATTAAATTTTTTTATTAAAAAATGACTTCATTTTATATCGTTCTTCCTTCTAACACTAATGTTGAAGGTAATAAGACAAATTCATTCAGAGTTCGCTTGCCCCAGAAATTAAAATTTAACTCTGAATGGGCAGTAGGCTTGGCTGTAATGGTTTATCCATATTCTTGGCCCTCGCTTGGTACCACATCAGAACAATTTTTCACTGTAACATGGCAAACTAATGAGAGCGTCCGCGTAAATGTAACATCTTCTAGCTTTATGAATCCTTTGCATTTGAAAGAAAATTTAAATAGATCCCTTAATGAAAGCTGCAAAGAATTATCTGATAAAATGATAGAATATAAAAGTAAAATAAAAGAACTCAAAAATCAGGCTAAGAACGAGTATAAACGACTTTATGAATTAAAAGCGAATGAAAATACGACTAAATCAGAACATGCTGTTACCGAGCATTCTTATGACGATGATATTCCCTTAAAGACTGAATCTGAAATTTATGCAGATTTATTATCAAAGACGATTGAAGATTCAGACAACGTAGTAAAATTTTTATTAACTAGTGGAAGCGATTTTGATTCTTGGGTAAATGCTTATCTTATGCCAAGTTCCGTATGTAACTTTGAGTTTTACGAAAAGAAAAATCGGTTCTCATTATTCTTGGATAAAAACTATATAAAAAGTATAACCCTTACAGAGCAGCTAGCATATATTTTAGGGTTTGATAAACATGATATTTTTGAGACATCTATTGCGAAATTTATGCCTGATATGAAGGGGGGAGTGTCGTCTTTTCATGTATATGCTCCGGGGTTAATTGAACCAATGATAATAGGGGATGTAACCGCTCCCGTACTAAGAATTGTAAATATTAGAGGAAAACAAGATGAAATTATAGAAGAACAATTTCTCCTCATTCAATATCACAAATTGTTAATAAAAGAAATTAATGAAATTTTTATTGAGATAAGAACTTCAAGCGGGACTTTAATGCCCTTCCAATATGGAACATGTACATTAACCTTGCATTTTAAGAAGTCAACCTATTTTTAAATTATTATGAATACTCTTCAGATAAATAAAATTTTGCATAGAAATGATATTACAAAAGATTATTATATTGGCTGTTTTGCATCTGATTCAATTCCTGTTTCAATTAATTTTACACCTTTTTGTATGGTTGTAAATTTAGATCCAAGTAGTGGAGCAGGTAGCCATTGGATTGGAATATTTTGTGAAAATCTTAGTAATATAGATTATTATGATTCTTTGGGTATATGGCCTCCAATTAGTCCATATATTCAAAATTATCTGAGTAACTTTGAACGTGTCCGTTTCAATACAATTCAGGTACAAAACTCATTAAAACCTACTTGTGGAAAACACGTGATGTTTTTCTTATTTCAAAGGTGTAAGGGCTTCTCTATGAATAAAATAATTCAATTTTTAAAAACAGTAAAATCTGATGATTTCGTTTCTGAGTTTATAAAAAATAAGATATTTAATATAAATAATTGAGAATGCCTTACATTTTTAATTTTAAAATGCACATTGACTTTGACCCTACACATATTGATTGGTCAAATTTGACCGAACAATTGCCTGATAATAATAATAATTTGCAATGGGGAGGTTATAATGTATTTCGCGGTATCCCATATCAAAGAGGGAATGGCTTGGGCTCGGTCCTTAGAAGTTTCATGCGATATCTTATACCTTTTGGTAAGCAAATTGGTAGTGCTCTAGGTAAGCAAGGCTTAGAATCTAGCAATCGAGTTATAAGTAATGTTCTAGAAGGAAAAGATCTTAAAGAATCGCTTGTCGATGAAGGAAAATCGGGATTAAAAAATTTACTTCAAAAGGCCGCAGACAATATTGATAACCAAAAAGGAAAAGGTTTCGATTTTAAGCGTTATAAAAATATAAAAAAGAATCCAGCTATAGGTCAGATGAATACTGAAGAACAAGATTTTCATTCTAAAAGTATAAATAAGAAACCTTATTCTAGAATTGGTCCTCCAAATTTTATTCCAAAATCTTCCCAAAAAATGCGCAAAAAATCTATTAAAAAGCGAATTCGCGTAGACACCCTAGGTACTTACTAAAATGAGTTGCACCAAAAAAATTAATGAAAATAGCCCCTTAGCTCTAAATAGTGCTCTTAGTATATTCACTGTTCCACCCACAAATGTTTCTGTCGTTCGATCTTTTTTCAGAGAAATTCTGCCCCTTAGTACAATTACTCAAGACTCCCCATACCTATTTCGCTTATTTAGTGATAATCTATGGACTGATTTATCCCGAACATATCTCTATCTTGAACTTTCTATTGAAAAACTTGGCGCAGATAATAAATGGGGCCCAATAGTTGGAACAGATACTAACATTGCCCCAATTCAGGGTATCGGCTAAACATTTGTCCAGCAGTTAAAAGTGACTGTTGGTAATACTGAAGTTTATGACAGCGGTACTCTTTATCCTTTTAAGGCCTACATAACAAACGAACTTTCATTCCCAGACAATGTCAAATTTAATTTTCTTGCTTCTATTGGTTATTATAAATGTGATAAGCATGATGATAACACTGACGCAGGATTCCAGAAAAGATGTTCTCTATTTGCAAACGGTAAACATTCACAATTACTATCACGTTTAGATTTTGA